TACATTCTGGAGACACAAAAGACTTACAGTTAAAGTCAAAATTATTAGCCCCCCCTTTGATTTTTTTTCTTTTTTTTAATATTTCCCAAATGATGTTTAACAGAGCAAGGAAATTTTCACAGTATTTCTGGAAATATTTTTTTTTTATCCTGTTTTATTTCGGCTAGAATAAAATAAGTTTTTAAGTTTTTAAAAGCCATTTTATGGTCAAAATTATTAGCCCCTAAAAGCTGAAATTTATTTATTTATTTTTTTTTTGATAGCCTACAGAACAAACCATCATTATACAATAACTTGCCTAATTACCAAAGCCTGCCTAGTTAACCTAATTAACCTAGTTTAACCTTTAAATGTCACTGTATAGAAGTGTCTTTAAAAATATCTAGTAAAATTATTATTTACTGATATCATAGCAAATAAAAAACTCATTCATTCATTTCATTCATTTTCTGCTGCTTTTCTGGGGCCGGGTCGCACGGGCAGCTGTCTTAGGAGAGAACCCTAGACTTCCCTCTCCCCAGACCCTTCCTCCAGCTCCTCTGGAGGGATCCCGAAGCGTTCCCAGGCCAGCCGAGAGACATAGTCCCTCAAACGGGTGGTGGTCGAAGGTTAGGACCACGACAACCCGTGGTTTGACTTCAACTGTATCTTAAATCTTGGAAAAGGGAGTAAAACAGGTGTAATTTAAGTTACTATGCTTTTGGATTCAGACTAACATTTGGATCATATTAAGATTATATTAATATTGACTCTAATTTCTAGAGTTTTTTTGTTCTCTTAAATACCTATCAATCATGAACAGTGCACGTCTTTTCTGGTGTAAATGTAACTTTGCATATTTTGTCTCTATCAGCATTTGGTTGAATCTAAAAGACAGTGAAATAAACTTTAAAAATTCCTAATAGGTTTGTAAAAGTGTGTATTTCATTAGGACCGTGACTCATTGTAAGGGAATAGCATGTTAGATCACATTCTTCTCATATAGTATATAGTCCACCATATCAGCTTTCTTTTTTGTTTTTTCCTGTGTTTTTATTATCTACAGGCTGAATCAGTGAGTACATACACACTCTCTCCTGGAGTTCATAAAGGTCAAGACTACTTTATTCCAAACTCTGTAATCTCCAGCGGGAGCACGACCTAATGGGCTTTGAAGGCATCCTGTACTTTAAAACTTGTTTTTGTTCATTTTGTTCATTTTTAGCTGTGAACTAACAGGAACATAGAACTAACAGGAAATGATGAGAAGTATTGGCCATAACCTTGCTTGTATTTTATTTATTTAGATGGATGAAAGTCCTTTTAGGCTGGAAAATAAAGATAAAAAAAAAACAGAGGGGTGAGTCAGTGAGTGCTCCAGACATGTCCTTAAAGCATTAGACTGAAAATGTTTCATTTTATATCTCAAATTTGATTCAATTTAGTCCACAGCCATTATGAGGTTCAGATGTGTCTGCAAATGCAGCACCACAACATCAATTCTACACTGAATACATCATGATTGTGCACATTTCAGTTTTTATTGATGGTGTTTTAGTTATAAATACAATTTACAAATAGGGACTGCATTCGAATCTGGATAGAAAATGTCCCATTTATTAGGATAGAAATGTCCTAAATATGCAATCGTTAAACGTTATATATAATAGTTAAATAACATTATAGTTAATAGATAAACTAGTTTATAGCTAATAATGGTTATCATCCGGTGTTCCCAGAACATGACTGTGAACTTTAAGCTCAAAGTGACTTACAGATTTTTCTATTATACCATATTGAAAATTGCAATTTTGAGGTGAGAATAAAAACAAAAACAAAAAAACAAGCTCTGTGTGTGTGTGTGTGTGTGTGTGTGTGTGTGTGTGTGTGTGTGTGTGTGTGTGTGTGTGTGTGTGTGTGTGTGTGTGTGTGTGTGTGTGTGTGTGTGTGTGTGTGAGCGTGTGCGCGCATGTGTGTATGTGCGTGTCTGTTTGTGTACTTCTTTAAATGCAAATGAGCTGATTCTCCGAATGCATTTGCCAAGCACTATTTGCCGAGACATTTGCTAAGCACTATAACAATGTACACACACTTATATGTTCACCTCTGTGTCTCAGGGCACATTTTGTTGTTACACATGTTGCTACAACAAAATGGCGAACTGTGTCCATCTTACTTGGTCTCAGACAAGTCTTAGGCGAGATGAAAAATCGTTTGAGGATTTAGCATAGATTGTAATTCGATTCAATCTGAATTGATTCTGAGGTTAGTTTTACACACCAAAAGGCAATGCATGCCTTACAAACAGCCGTACACAGCTTGCATTTAATTCCTTACAAATACCGCTTGGATATGAAATAATTGTTAATAAATTCAAAATCAATTTGAGAGAGAATAGCAGTGCATTTTAAAAATTTCAGAATCAATGCAGAATTGATACCTCAAAACTTCTTTTGCCACAGGTTCAGCAAGTCTATGCTAATACAACGTGTCTGTCAACAATGGTAGACAGGGCCTTCTCAGTTTGACATCACATTGTACAGATTCTGCAAAAGGCTTGTTCTAAGAAAAGATAGGTCCAGGTAATATTTGAAGTGTATTATAATATATATATATATATATATATATATATATATTGGTGCTGTCAGTCGATTAAAAAAATAACTAATTAATCACACTTTTTTTGCAATTAATCGCGATTAATCACATTTAAAAGACTGAAACTTGTAATGTTGTCTATTCAAATGTAAAATTAATTAATTAAAAATGTAACAACTATTTATATTCAAAATATAATTGTTTATTAGAATTTTTTTAACTTGTAACACAGATTTCTTCATGTAAACAACATACCCACAATAAACCACAAAGATCCTGGAAAAAAATATATATATTTCCATGTTGGCTTCTAAGTGGACTGCAAAAAATGCCAAAGTACAGGCATTACAGACATGGAAAATAGAAAATTATGATAATAATAATGTATTGAATACAAACAATTGTACTCATTGAAAAGTTGTATAGCTGTGAGTTGAGAACATTAATTATAAAGTAGAAACAATTTTGCTTAGTCCTCCTTTACATTCAGCCAGTTGCTAAGACAGTCCAGTCTGTTGACATTATCGGGGGACAATGTGGCCCTTTTCTTTTGAATGATGTGAGCTGAGTGTGAAAACAGGCAGAATAACAAGCAGGATCACTGAATCCGCATATGCATTTCTTTGCCTAATTTTGTTTTAAAACGCATGTGTGCGCACACACACGCACACACTATGTGTGATTAACACGCGCAGGACAGTGCAGCCGGAGCGACTGCCTTCAGATTCAGCACGAATGATCGCGTTCATCAAATTTACTTAAACTAAGCGTTATTAAGTCTTGCTTCTACCCTGTAAACAGTGATTTTTGAGTACCTTGAAGGACCGTTCGCCATGCGGTATCAAATTCCATTAAAACAAAAGTCGCAAGATTAAAAATGAAACATCCGATATTGCATGAAACACTGGAGGAAACTGTAGATAGCCCGGTAATGCAGCATTAATTGTTTTATTCTGAAACTTGCCTTCAAAAAGTGCTTCCTTGGTCTCATCCGTATTTCTTGAATGTTGAACGCACGTCGGCCACAACAGGAAATTAAAAAAACTGCAACTGCGTTAATTACGTAAATTTTTTTACTACGTTAAATATTTCAAATTAATCGCATGCGTTAACACACTAATCTTGAGACCGTTTTGTTGTTTCAACAAAAGAAATAATAGCAATTTAAAATCAACATAAAACATTCTTGTTGCAGTGCACTCTTTTTTCGTGCTTGCTTTTGAAAACACTATTGGTTGGGTGTAGGGAAGGGTTTAGGTCAGTGATTTGAACGACAAGCCCCTTCTTCTCGTGGACATAAAATAAGGGAGTGTATCTAAAACTTAAAGCAAAATGCGTATTTCAGATTCACAAAATGTAGACATCGCCTGCTCATGTATTTGTCATCGGAAACATTTAGTAAGACATACCTGGAGCAATGTATTTTAGGTTTCACAAAAATGTTGGCTGAGGCACATATTTTCAAAGAGTCTGGGCTGCATTAATGTAAACTCAAAATTCAAATAATCTCTTACCTCTAAACACCGGTTTCACTTCTGTGACCTTTAAGCTCATAATTACATATACAATATCACCACTCAAAACCCAATAATCTTCTCATGTATCCCCCTACGACCAAGAAAATAAAATATGAAACAAATTTCAAGGGGACCTTCTTCAGTGTTTATTCCTATAAAACCACTGTAAAATAATTGCAGTCTGCGAATACCTTTATCTGCAGAAGGTAATAGAGTGTTTTGTAACAGAAAGGTCTACTGATTGTTATTCGTGGATGACTGTACCCCATCCCACCGGTGCAGAAGCGCTGCTGGAAAATTGGAAGCTCCTAAATAAATTTGCTCCTAAAGCAGGATTAGGCTCAACGTTTCTCCGTTTTAATGAGGCTGAATCAATGGAGCATTTCGTCCGTATAAATCCCCATCGGCTTGCTAGAAACCATTTCTTCCAACTTAAAATCTCCGGGCCTATTAGTTTGCCGCCCGTGAGCTGCAATCAGCAGTGAAAAAAGGCTTTGATACGTCCCTGCCTGGGTGTGCAGGTTCCACTAAACGCTCTTCTTTCTCTTTTCTGTCTGATTTACGGTGCTCAATTCACATCACTAAGTGCATCTCCATCTGGCCCAATTGCATCTCTATTTATGCAGCACACAACATACTAATGTTGTTTGTCTGCCCTCATAGATGAAGATCTGTTGGAAATACTCATTGGAGGTGTTAACCAATAGGAAAGTGATTTGATTGGGTAATTGGTTTGCTCATGTGTGGCATTAAGAGCCCCGGGGTATTCTCTAAACTCTCACAGAATCATGATCAATGCAGATGTTGCACTGAGGGTTATGCTTTATAGTTTAATAATTTTTTTTTTATTTCCATATTTTTGATAGATGTTTCTTTTCTTTCTTTCTTGTTTTCTTTTTTTTGCAGTCGGCAGAGACAATCTCTACAACCTGACATCATTGCTGGTTCAGCCTATATCTGCCTCATTGGCAAAAATGCTGCTCTCTGCCTCAGCCATGGGGCAAGGAAGACCCTGCGTCCCTATGATCATGCCCCCCACTTCAGGTAAGACTTGCATGAACTAGAAACAATGCTGCACTTACTGTAGCTATCAACTGAAAACATCCTCACTCCCACAAACCATCACTGCTTACTTCCTTCAGTTTTGCTGGCTCATTTCAAGACAGACATTCTCCTGGTTAAAATATTTTGTAGTGAATTTAAATAGTAAACAATGCAATAATTTAGGTACAGTTTATAACAGAAACAATGATTATTATTATTATTATTATTATTATTATTATTAATATTAGTATTAATATCAATATTATTATGCTGAAAGTTATTATTATTTTCTACAATGTATTAAAATTAAAAAAAAAAAAAAAAACTCCTTAGTGTCTCACCAGTGATGATATACAGCCAAATCACACTGCTATGAGTGTGATATTGCGCCTTAATACAACAATTCGGTGGCATAATCGTGTTTATAAATAAATTACTTTCTTCCTCCATTTATTCACATCTACAGCTGACATCAGAACAGCAGAAACCATGGCTACTTCACAAACGTCGCTTTAGAGCTAGCATTTGAATGATTCTCTAGTGTAATGTCTAGATTACTGTTGTGTTTGCCATAAGGAAAAACACTTAACACTTGTGGGCATTTCTTCTTTTTTTCTTTTTACTAGACTATTCTGCAGTAGCGTAAACAGGAGATCCATTAGAAACAAGCAGATGGCCAACTAAAAACTCTGGGTTATACAAAGATACAAAATGCATACTTTGCTGAAAATCAAATCAAATCGCTCTTATTGTAACATCATCTGCAGCACGTGTGCTATGATGAGTAGAAAGCTTAGGTGCTGGCTCCAGACAGTACAGACAATGCAGATACAACTGCATAAAAAATAAAAAAAAAGAAAGGACAATGTAAAATTGACAGCGATATGTACAATGAATAGGTGTCCACATAGTTGTAGGCAGTATTGTTTTAAGTATGGATTGGTTAAAGTGCAGTGCATGCTACATGTTGATGATGTGCAGTGAGAGGTATGAAAGAGTTTGTGTGATGTGTGTTAAGTGTTCATCAGCCTGATAGTCTGAGGGAAAAAGCTTTTCTCCAGTCGGCTGGTGCGTGACCGTATGCTGCGGAACCGTCGCTGATGATTCTCTTGACTTTCCACATGCACCACCTGGTGTAGATGTCCTGGAGGGAGAGAATCTCACCTCCTACTACGCATCCAGCAGTTCGCACAATCCCATGTAGGCCTTTGTGATTTCTGCTGGTGCTGTTTCCATATCAGGTGGTTATACAGCCAGACAGTGCAGGTGTAGAGCGGAGGATGTGGGGGCTCATTCCAAACCTCCTAAGATGCCTGAGGAAGAAGAGGCGTTGTTGTGCCTTCCTCAGCACTGCGTCTGTTTGAGCAGTCGATGTCAAATCCTCAGGGATGTGTACTCCAAGAAACTTGACTGTGCTGACTCTCTCGACTGGCGTCCCGTTGATGATGATGAGGGTGTGTTCTCTCTTCTCTCTCCTGAAATTCACCACCAGCTCCTTGGTTTTGCTGATGTTGAGTGAAAGGTGGTTTTCCTCACACCACTGCGTTTAAGTGTGCACCTCCTCTCTGTAGGCTGTCTCATCATTATCTGTGATCAGGCTCATCAGCAAATTTAACGATGACGTTGGAGCTTCACCTGTTGGAGGTGTGATGACGTTGGAGCTTCACCACCAGCTTGGTAGGCACTATGGTGTTGAATGCTGAGCTGTAGTCCACAAACAGCATTCTCACATATGTGTTATTAGTTTCCAGGTGAGACAGAGCAGTGTGCAAGGTGAAAGCAATTGCATCATCAGTGGAGTATTTATTCCTGTATGCAAATTGCAGAGGGTCAGTGTGAGCAGGCAGTACAGAGCAGATGTGCTTTTTAATCAGCTTCTCAAAGCACTTGCTTAAAATGGGTGTCAGAGCAACTGGACTCCAGTCATTCAAGAATGTCGTTTTATCTAGTTTCGGTATTGGCACAATAGTAGCCTGTCTTATGGCATGTGGGAACCACAGACGGAGAGAGCGAGAGGTTAAATATGTCCGTGAAAACTCCCGCTAGCTGGTGTGGGCATGCTTTAAGTACACGTCCAGGGATGCCATCTGGGCCCGTAGCTTTCCAGTTGTTCACACGATGGAAAGAACTCGTTGACTATGATATCTGATATCTGAGTCCCATCTCACACTGAATACACTACAATTATATGGTATAAATACAGCACTACAACATACAAAAGATAGAGTTCGACTTAGATAGTCACTCACCTGTTTTATAATCATTTGTTCAGCTGTAGAAATGATGCTGTTTTTCTTCTAAGTGCTTTTTATGCGGTCTTTGTAGCCATCTTATGGATTTACAACGTCAATCGTCTTTGGTCTGCTCAATGACAGGCTAATGGCCGTCGATGCGCTGTCTCTCTGAACTTCATTCATTCATTCATTTTCTTGTTGGCTTTGTCCCTTTTTTAATCCGGGGTCGCCACAGCAAAATGAACCGCCAACTTATCCAGCACATTTTTACTCAGCGAATGCCCTTCCACCCGCAACCCATCTCTGGGAAACATCCACACACACTCATTTGCACTCATAAACTATGGACAATTTAGCCTACCCAATTCACCAGTACCACACGTCTTTGGACTGTGGGGAAAACCAGACCACCTGGAGGAAACCCACGCGAACGCGGCGAGAACTTGCAAATTCCACACAGAAACGCCAACTGAGCCAAGGATCGAACCAGCGACCTTCTTGCTGTGAGGCGACAGCACACCTACTTTGCCAATGCGTCACCCACCTCTCTGAAATTATAAATATTTTGAATAAACAAACTACATAGTTGCAATCTAAACAACTATTTTCGAAAAAAGCTTCAACAGAACATTATGTTGTCCAGCCGCTGCAATATTTGGAGTAATACACAAGGGTGAAAGGTGAAGGGGCAGTGCAAGTGCTCTTATTTGCAAAATATGGCACGGCTAACAGCCAATCAGACAGATCCAGACAACAGAACAGATATATATCACCATAGCGGCTGCCCTTCCAGCTGCAACCCAACTCAAGTCATTCACACTCATACACTATGGACAGTTTAGCCTACCCAATTCACCTGTACCACGTTTTTTGACTGTGGGGGAAACCGGACCACCTGGAGGAAACCCACACGAACGAAGGGAGAACATGCAAACTCCACACTGAAACGCCAACTGACCCAGCCGAGGCTCAAAACCAGAGACCTTCTTGCTGTGAGACGACAGCACTACCTACTGTGCCACTGTGTCGCCTATATATATATATATATATATATATATATATATATATATATATATATATATATATATATATATATATATATATATATATATATATCAGAAATCTAGTGTATATAAGGTATTGATGTTAAATTAACCATTACAAGAACATTGGGTTTATAAACATTGTAATTATTTAGTAATTATTATTACCATAGCATTATAACCCTATATGGCTTTGTCATCTGTGGAACACACACACAACAGGAGGGATTTTACATACATGATATAGTGGCAAAGAATTTCCCTACATGATTCAATAATTTCAACAGACCATGAAAGTACAAATGTATACATAGTTTTCACACTTTTTTCTATTTTTGCCATTTGCATTGCATTCTCAAATCATTGTTTAATGCTATAGTGATTGATTTGAAGTGTTACCAACTTATAAGCTTTAGGTTCTCCCCGTCTTAAATCATCATAAAAGACAATCATATGATTGCCTTCTGTGTCACAAACCGATTATACTGCCATTCTGTTAGCGTCTCTCAAGCTTTGTGATGCTCTTCTATTCCTCCTTATGTGTGTTAATCCTTATGTCTCCACTAAGCTCTGAAACAGAATCTTTTGTGCCTGAGATATTCATTAGTCTTCTCAGTCTCATGCTTCTGCTGGGGATTTAACCATCAGAAAGCAGCTTTGAGTGCATGACGTCAGGGTTTCCCCCTGCTGACAGCAGAGGGTATTACAATTTTCAATAAAAAAGAAAAAGAAAAGCCAAGGCTGGTTGATTTATGCTCCGTGGTGCGAGTGTAACTCCTGAGTGTGGTAAATTGCACAGGCTTTACACATCATCTTAAAGTCGCCCTTCGCTATGGTCGCCCATATCCAAGGCCATTACACACATCAGTCAGCAGGTGCCCATGGGACCTAATTGAAACCATGAGAGTAGGGCTGGCCAGCCTCTCATGTAGAGCTTTCATAGAGGTCAAATGTAGCATTGAATGTGGTCAAGAGTGGATGTGCCGCAAGCTAAATAAAAAAGACAGATGGAGGAGATGACATGTATCCGATCATAATTGGATTTTAGTGAACAGACCTACAGGGAAAGGTCATTCCAGTGGGATGATGTTTTTCATCCACCAAACAAATGATGTACATATGTAGTTTTGCTGCTTGACTTTCATTTGAGGAGTTTGAATTTTCAGAAGTTTCAACTAAAGTTGCCCAAGTGTGTATTTATTTTTTACTTTTATGTTATACGACTTTTACATAACTAATATGTTTTATGCATCCTTGAGATAAATAAGCTTTTGTCATGAACAGGCAACTGTGCATATGCTGCATTTGTTTTATTCTAGTATTTTAAAATGCTTTTTTATGCCAAAATGCATTTTCACACTTGAGGCACTCTGTAAAGGGTGTGAATATCTTGCATTATGCAACAGAATAACAAAACTGTGTTTTGAAGAAGTATCACACAAGGACTTTTTTTTTCTGGCAGAATGTTTCATCAAAATGAAAGTTTTAAATATTGAAACTATATGCTGCTTACAATTAAGGCAGATGCTGTTGCGATACTTCATTCAAAATTCAGCAATATCAAAGTTATAAACTCATATAAGCACAATACACAGATTTATACTTTTTATATTTAAAATGAATGTTTTTTCCTCATTTTTCAACGTTATCAATAATTGTGGAGAATAAGCCTCCACAGAACCATAAAGACTTAACTTTATCAGTTTAAAAAAAGAAAAAAATC